ACCACTTTCCGAAAACGTTTAGTAAATGTTATAATTTGGAAAACTTTGTAACATTTCCCCTCTATGAGACAAATGATCTTTGTAATCATCAACTTATAGTGAATTCTTACAATTGGGTCAGACCCCTTGGTTTTTTTCATTTATGGATTTTTCCACGTAAAAACTTTTGGTGTCATTACTGTTTGTTTTCCTTAACCCCAGTGTCGTTGAACTCTTGTACAACGCTAACACGATAATTCAGTACTCTAACACCATGAATTTTCTAGCACGCATCAAAAATAAAAATTAAAAAATTTTAGAAACTCTCAGATACATTAAAAGATGAAGAATATGGCGGAACTAAATCTTAAAAACTAGAAGTAACAAAAGTGTTGCCAAAATTCCAGTTTTAAGGGGTGACATTACTGAAAGTTTTGAGTTTTGTATTATTAGTATGAACTCTGAAGGAGAAGCTCTAATAAATAAGGTAAGAATTATTGTGTCAGTTCATCCCCTAGTTCCAACTCGTTATCATCCAATATGTGTTGGAGCCTTTAATCCACACGTCGCTAACTCTATCTCTCCTCCCTCCCATGTTGCTTATCAGAACCAACTTGAAGTAGCCCTTTCCATTAATGGTGAATCTCACATCTCAGCTCCTTTGACACAGAACCCTGCCATCACAAAGTTTATTTCAATGTTGTGTGCAAATATGAAAGTTTATGCATGAGATATGTAAATAATTAAGTGTTTCAGTTTATTTTTCCCTTTTTTATTTTAAATGGAGCCGTCAGATTTTCGATCGTCGTATACTTCTCTTATTCAAATAAATCACTCTTCTGAATTATATTGATGATTCGAAAAGGAGAGAAAGCAAATATAAAAGGGACAAACGACAAAGAAAAAAAACATGACAAAAAAGAAACATAGGGATTCTACGTATTATAAACCTCGTAAGGATATGTTAAATATGTCTGCTCAAACAAGATTGAGCAGAAGCACCCTGGACAAATATCTGCAAAAGAATACATACATGGCTACCCATAACAAGAGAGTTAGTTGTATGCATTTGTTATGGGGTTAAAAGCACTCCTAAGGGGACGTATCCTGCTTGTTTAATTACGTGTTGTGTGATACCCAAGAATATTCTCGATAAAAGTGATTTTGTTTTATTATCATGGACATGGGGAAATAAATCATCAAAGTAAAGTTATTCCATGTGGGAATGTGCATATTCTTCAAAGCTCTTACTAAGTCATTGGACAGAGAGTAAGTCTCTCACATCCCAAATGGGAGGTGGCTCATCGGGACATGTAATCCACGGAATAACCATAATCATCTTGACAGGGTTATCCCAACTTCAAAGCACGTCCAGGTCATAAGGGAAGAGGAAAATCATTGTATCTCAAATGGGTGACTGCTATTGGCATTGAGCCGTGAAGATGATATTGACAAAGTTAAAGGAGCGACAAAGTTAAAAGGGGCAAAAAAATAGAATGGTAAAGTAATCATAAAAGGTAGAGGTAATTAGGTCGGGGTACCATGGACCCTTTATAAACAACCACTAGGACCCTAAGTCTACTGATACACCTAGAATATATAGTATTTTTATACTTTTATACAGTATTTTTATACACATTTTTATACATATTTTTGAGATATTGCGCTTTAATAAAAAAGTATTTGTGTGTTTTTCTTTCAAGTACAATCAAATGAATGAAAAATGCTAAAAGAAATAAAAAATGGAGAAATTTTGAGCAAAAATGAACTGGGGAGCCTAAGCGCCCAGGATTGGCGCCTGAGCGCCAGAGGAGCAGCGCCTAAGCGCCAGGTACCCCGCGCTTAAGTATAAAAAGTAGTTATGAGATGAATTATTTAATTTGAATAGATTTTAGAAGAGGTGTTTAATGCAACCCTTGGTAAAAAAGTGGGAAATAACCCATGAACACGAAAATTCATTCAATTAGCTTTTGATGAGGCAACTTCCAGAAAATTCATTGAATGGAGACATATTTTTGAAGAGACACCAAGACAACCATTGGATTTTTATAAGAAAAAAACTTAGATTTTCTAATATAGGAGGCCAACCACCCATCAAATTTACAGTCATCATCCATCTAAGTCGTCGTCCCCGTCGCCACCGCTGACTACTTTTCTTTTTATTTGGAGTGTTAGTTTGTATTGTAAGTGAAGGAAGATAATTCAAAGGAATTTTAAGACATTTGGTGGAGAAGATTTGAGGTAAATATTTATCTTTGTGACTACACTTGATTTTAATTTAGATTTCTTGTTTGTGTACATGATTTTTACTTTTAAACTCATATGTGGTTGTGTTTTCTCTATGGATTATGATTAATTTTTTTATTTTTTTCCTTAAAATGTTAAGTGATTAAGTGTTAAAAGGAAGTTGTGTAAAGTATTAAGCTTAATTGTTGGAAGAAGTTGTTATGATTTGAAACCTTGCACTTCATTTACTTCTTAATTTTTACTTCTTAATTTGACCAATTAAGATGTTAATACTTGTTGTGAGAACATATAAAATCCGAGATGGTATTGTCTCAGTCAACAAATGATTAGAATCACATATTGATTTTACAGATAAGAAAGTAGTTAATGGGGTTGAGTGCAAATAAATAGAGAAATAAATTTTTCAAGGGTGTTGAATTAGAGGACTTTAGAGTGACAGACTAAAGCCACCAATTTGATTTATAGTTTTAGGTTTTGATACGAGATGTGAGCCCCCAGGTGGAGGGAGAAGAGGAAACTCTAAAATGAGAGCTAGTATCATGCCTAGCCGGTCTTCAAAACTATTCAAACTATAGATTAACCAATGTTTTTTATAACATCTCTAGTAAGGGTAAAGAATATTATTACTCTTTTTGATACAATACATTTAGAATACTTCCACAATAAAATTTCTCTACTTATTACTGATTCATGATAAGGAAAAAAAAATATATATTTTTATATCACCTTCATCTTGCAAGTATTTAGTTAAGTTAATTAGTTGCTTACTTTATTTTTATAAACAAAAAAAAATTACGAAAAGAATCGAATTTGCATTCCTATTTTAGCATCTTAAGTTTAAGTAAGAATATTTTGCTAAATAGATTTTTGTCATCTAAAATTTATAAATTTTTCAATTTCTAAAAAGCATATAGTCATTTTCCCTGTGGGTTCAATACTCGGAACTTAATCAGAAAGTCTTATATTACATGATAAGAATACGTATACTTGCGTAGTATCCCATATTTAAAATTATAATTGTATTCTTATAATTGTTCTTCTTTGCTTCATAGTTGAAAAATTACCTAGCTTTTGTTCGGGATCAAGTTTTTGGCTTTGTTGCAAATTAAGAATAACTATTAAGGAAATTAAACATATAATCGCATACATCGTATTTTATATATATATAGAAAGTCGGTATCATCTACCCTGTAGTGAAGGTAGTCATCCACAAGGACCTCGACAGCCTTAATGTGAAAGGAAGGAAACTCTATCCTATGACTACTGATTGGAGCTCCAATAGGCGAGACTTATACCTGCTTAAGTGACAATGATGCCCCAAGAAAGGAAGAGAGAGGGAGGTTCAGTTGCAAATGCTCCAAACAAAATGACATGCACCCGTTTGTGTCAGGAGCCTTCTAACACCTATGCACATTAGACAACCACCTATATAAAAAGGTATGTTGGGTCACTCGGGTTGGATAAGCACGTGTGATTCTCCTCGGGACATGCAATATGAATACAATTATCTAGAACAATCCTTAAATATTATGGAGGCTCTATTATATGACTTGGGTGATGCCCATGTAATGCAACCCATTTTAAATCTGGCCAAAGGCCATGCATGAAAATAAAATACATATTTTAAATCCCTCAATATTTTAATCCTAAAAATTCATTTATATTTTATTAATTTTTTTTAATTAGGATTTTAACTCCTAAAGAGCTTATATTACATCGCTATTCCCAGACGAACCACAAAAATAAACAATAAAACAATTCAAGCATTCATTAAGGTAGAAAACATACCAAATAAAAATATATAAAATGTCAAATGTTGTTGGCTCAGCAACATATCACAGGAAAAAAAAATGTGGTCGAACTTCACATACACAAGCCCGTACATAATTCTATTTATCAATATCAAATGCAAAATTAAGATACGAGACACATTTTTGCTTCTGATCCCTGTCACGTGATTCCCGTTGCATCGGAACCCGTGCTCGTATTTTATTTCTACTACATGACTCTTATAGACTTTAAAAAGTACACAAGAAAAAAAATAAGACTCAACCTGCAATAAAACACATGTCAACGGGGAAAACAATACAACATATAATGAGTTGTGTCTGGTGGGGGAGCTAAACAACACTTGCAAGCAAAAGAGTTAGTATAAATCATTACATGCACACCCTTTTATGGTACCTGTGTGTGTGTGTATATAGAAGCACGACTCTCTGCAGAACCTAACACACAACCATGCATATCAGGCATGCAGGCGCACCAAAAGCACAAAACATGAAAGATGAATGACTATGACAAACAAACTATCAAAGAATAATAGTCGGACATCAAAATAACTATCTAGCACCCTAGGTCAACCTAACACACCATCTAACGAAAAGTTGTCTCTAACCTAGGACCTAAGTGTACAGGGTAAAGTCTACGGCTACCGTATGACTTTGACATCTTTTGCTCCGTCTATGTCTGCTCGACATATTGATTCATTGTTTTTGCTCCGGCTCAGCTAGCTCATTGATGATCATGTCCATGCTTTCTCCAGAGAATTGCCGTGCATTTTTTTTTTCCCTTCTGCGTACATGCGAGCCAACTAGCTTGTGGCCAAGCTCACAGTAACTTTTACACAAATACATAATTAATTAAGAGAGTTGGAAATTTCATATATTTGTTAAACTTTATCTTTCTTCTGCCATACAAGACAATTATTTGCAGAAATAATATAATATGTGTTATAAAATATTTCAATAAGTAACATAATTTAGAGTCATTTCAGGATGACCCTTTTGCTTGGACCTCCAGGATGTGGAAAAACAACATTGTTGTCATCTCTAGCAGGGAAGCTTAATCAATCTCTCAAGGTATTTAGTTGATTTAATTTGTTAAGTTATAATTTACTTAAACATTGCATTTATGATTAACTTTCTCATCAATATTACAAAAAAAAAAACTTTGCATCATTATAAGATTAAATAATCTGAGATAACTTGATATTTCATCTTAATTAAATTTGAAAATGGACTCATAACTAAGTTGTGTCCAAAAAAACTCTAAAGCGCAAAATATCATTATCTTTATGACAACGAGAAAAAAAATTACATTCGGCGATAGGTAGGATCACACCACCTCGCTTGAAAAGAGGTGTGTAGTAATCCACGCCGTCGTCCGAATGTAATATTCTCTCCAGTTTGAAAGTGAGCGTTCAGAATTATGGCCAATAGTTGTTCTCTAATTTAGAGACAACATAATGATTGAGAATAATCCATTAAATAAGCCCAAGAAAGTTATGTAGATAATTTGACAGAAATTATAATCATCAATTGAGGGAATAGAAAAAAAAAAACTTTTTTGACAATGGGGGGCGTAACTTGTGTTCGGATCGTTCGTTAAGCTTAACGGGCTGAACACAAACAAATTTTTAAGCTCAAACAAATTTTTAAGCTCAAAATATAAACAAGCTGAACATGAACAAATATTTGTTTGCTCGTGTTTGGCTCGAATTGTCTCGAAAAAAAAAAAAATTAATAAATATATAAAATAATAAATATATTCAATATTCCAGTGTATTATTGGAGTTATTCAGCTGTGTTACTCCACAAAATATTGAGTATAAAATATTATGTTATTATGTATATTTTATAAAACATATTTTATAAAACAAAAAAAAAAAAATTATATCAATGCTCGTATACTATTGTTGTATGTTTTTCTCATTTGAAAATTTACAATAATTGTTCATAATAGTGAAAAGATGTTATTAAATAGTACACTCATACAACTTTATAAACCTTTTTATACGAGTTTTAGCTTTACTCTGTTCATTTACAACTCAAGATATAAAACAAGAATGTCCACGGTATTATTGACAAGATTTTGCGGCATTTTATATTCTGCCGAACCTATTTCGAGCAGAGCATGAGCTGAACACGAACATAAATATGTTATTCGAGCCGAACACGAACTCATTGTTCACGAGTCATTCAAACACGAGCCAAATTGGAATGAGCCGAACACGAGTTGAGGTTCATCTTGCTCAAGCTTGGCTTGTTTACAGCCCTATGTGCAGGTACTAGTAGAATTTTAGGAGCATTTATATACATACCATCCAAATCCTATTTAATACATATTTAACACCTAAAATTATAGCAGACAAGCAAACAGTAAAACAAAATGTCAGATCACTAGTTAAAGAATTTGTATGATCAAAGACGTAAAATAAGCTCCTCATGTTTTTTAAATGTCCGCAAATGCAAGTTGCAGGGGATATTACCTACAATGGTTCTAAACTAGATGGAATAAAGCTAGCAAAAACCACAGCTTACATTAGCCAACACGACTTGCATATTCCTCAAATGACAGTTAGGGAAACTCTGGACTTCTCAGCAAGATATCAAGGCGTAGGGGACAGAGCAAGTAAATGGCATAATTGCTGCATAATGCCTCCAAATTAAGTTTCAGGGCTTGTTTGAGATCACTATTGTTTTTGTTCCTATTTTAAAAACATATTTGTTTAATAAACTTTTTTTATATTTAAAAAAAATTAACATATTTTTAAAATACTCAAAAACATCTAAAAGTTGTTTAAAGAGTTTTAAAAATATGTTATTTCATACCAAAAAGTAATGCTTTATTTTAAATCAAAATATAAACAAAATAACATAAAAATAAAAATAAAAACTAAAAACAAAAGTGATCCCAAACAAACCCTGGGTGAAGAACTTCTATAAAGTTAGAATTGGAATTGCTCCCACTAAACTTGTTCATGGTGGCTAAGGTATCATGGCAGAAGTGGTAAGAAAAGAGAAGAAGGCAGGCATTGCTCCAGATCCAATGATAGACACCTACATGAAGGTAAGTGGAACATTTTATGATTAACTAAAGCGTAGCATGGATTAAAATATAGAATGAAAATCAAAATTAATGATAACTTACTAATTCAATTTTCAATGTCTTCTAATAAACAAAACTTATATAATATGTTAAAACAAAATCAACAGTATTTATAATATATTTATAGAAAAATCTACCCTATTCATTAAAATTTCTTTCACCGTAAACAAGCTTTCATCAATCAAGTTCAACGACCTTTGCTATTGCAGGCAATTTCTGTCCAGGGACAAACAAATGTACAAACGGACTATATGTTGAAGGTAATAAAAAAAACACCAGAACTACCATGCTTAAAGTTTTTGTAGCTCCACAACATCTACTTATTTCAGTATCTATGTTTATTTCCTATGAACAACTGATCTTTGAAGATACCAGTACTTCAAAGAGGGGCAGGGCAATTTGATATCTTCTCATTATGTTTTTGTTTCAATAATTTTTGTTGAAATGCAGATCCTTGGTCTAGAGTCCTGCTCGGAGACAATGGTTGGAGATGCCATGAATAGGGGTATATCTGGTGGACCAAAAAAAAGATTAACAATAGGTTGAATCATTCATCTAACCAAACTTGTTCTCACAAATTTCAGTTCTACAAATATTGGTTTTAGGAATGACCTTGAATCTATACAAACAGAAAATGCATCGGTTTCCAAAGATTACAAAATGCTAATTTTAAGTAATTTTATGTTTTAGGTGAGATGATGATTGGGCCAGCCAGAGCATTTTTCATGGATGAAATATCAAATGGCCTAGACAGTTCCACAACACTTGAGATACTTTCATGCATCCAACAATTTGTCCATATTACAGCTGCAACTGCATTAATTTCTCTTCTTCAACCAGCACCAGAGACTTTCGAACTTTTTGATGACATTATTTTGATCGCGGAAGGGAAAATAATATATCAAGGGCCGCGGGAGCTAATACTTGATTTCTTCGAGGATTGTGGCTTCAGATGTCCACAAAAAAAAGGAATTGCTGAGTTCCTTCATGAGGTACACATAGCTTGATTAGGAAAACAATTTTGAAAATTCTAATTGAATTTTTCTTTTGCATTACTGCAGGTCATTTCAGAAAAGGATCAAGAACAATATTGGCACCAAAAAGAAATGGCTTACAGCTTCATCACTGCAGATGAGTTCTCAATGAAATTCAAGTCCAGCAATATTGGAATGGAGTTACAAGAACAACTCGCAAAAAAACATCAAAATCATGATTCTGATACAAAATTTGCAACGTTTAGCACGAGGTCTACTAAAAAATGGGAATTGCTTGGAACTTGTATGGCTCGAGAACTTCTTATAATGAAGAGAAATTCATTTGTTCACATGTTTAAAACAGCTCAAGCGCTTATTTGACACATTTAAACATCAATTAACAAATAAGGATAACAGAAAGTTGATAATCATTATTTTTTTTCCAGCTTATAATTCTTGCTGTTATAACTATCACCGTCTTTCTACACACGCAAATGACTGTAGATTTAGTACATGCGAGCTACTATGTTGGTTCACTGCGCTACACCATTATCAGGATTATGACTAATGGAATTGCAGAATTAACATTGTCTATTGTCAGTTTACCCATCTTTTACAAACAAAGAGATTTGCATTTCTATCCTGCATGGGCATATGCAATGCCAGCAGCTATCCTAAAGATACCCTTTTCTCTGGTGGAATCTTTCATTTGGACAGGAATAACTTATTATGCTATTGGATACACTCCTGAGATACAAAGGTGAGCGTTTAGCTGAGTCCTCCTTCATAATGATTTTTTGATAAAATCAATCCTATTCTCCTAATTTACTCTATGAAATATGCTTGACAGGTTCTTCTATCATTTCTTTTTACTCTTTTTGCTGCATCAAGCATCAACTTCCCTTTTTCGTTCTATAGCCTCAATTACTAGAATTCACCATAAAGCGATGTGCTCAGGCTCTCTGGCAATGGTGACATCAATTCTGTTCGGGGGCTACATTCTTCCACAATGTAATTTCATGGCTCAAATTTCTTTATAAATTAAAGCTTATTGGATAACCATATCATGGAGCCAAAAAGGCATAGCTTACACTAAGTTTGGAATGAGCAATGTGATAACTTAGCTATTAAAAAATGGGTGGCTACACTTTTTCATTGCTATGTTATGAGTCACAATTTGCCTTATAAGTGGATCCAAATGAAGCCGAAGTATAACTTCTTCATGAGATTTAACCCTAAAACTTCTATTGCAGCCTCACTCCCAACGTGGTTGCAGTGGACCTTTTGGCTCTCACCAACAACATATGCAGAAATAGGGCTATCTATTAATGAGTTTAGGGCACCAAGATGGCAAAATGTAAGTTATAGTGAGTTCCCTTTTGTACCTCCAAGGGAAGACAATTCATCGTAATAGTTAGCTTTTGGTTTTTTTAAGGGAAATTTACATACAAAGCACAAAATTCTCATCTATTTACATATCTCACACCTAAACTTCCATATTTACATATATAGCATTTCATTGCTTTAAACCTATGCATAAAAAGATGTATTTCACTATTAAAAAGTGATAATAATGCTATTTTTATGTCATATTAAAGAATTGAGTGTTATGTGTGTAAATATGAAACTTTAGGTGAGAGATATGTAAATACATAAGAATTGGGCTAGGTATGCAAATTTCCCTTTTTTTAATTCATCTTTAACGTCCTCAATCTACTTTCGCTAACAGTTGTTGCCAGAAAATGAGACGATGGGTGAGCAAGTCTTGAAAAGTCAAGGTCTAAGCAACAAAGGATTATTCTGTTGGCTATCACTAGGAGCATTGTGCATTCTGACATTAGTTTTTAACTTTTGTTATACCATAGCACTGAGTTACTTACATAGTATGTTCTACTCCTATAACTTGATAGAGTTATGAGCCACTAAAATAGGAAATTGACACCTCATGCTATTTAGATCCAGGAACTTCTAAAACTATTACGTCAAATCATCAACTTAGATCACAAAGGGATGAAAAAGGATCTAACTTCTGTAGCAAATTAGAGCAAAAATCAACTAAGAGTTCTAAGTCAGATGTTAGAAAAATAAAAGGTGATAAACATTTTTCATAAGCTAAAATGATCATTGATATAACTAATGCAAGAAATGTTGATGAGTATATCCTCTAATCACATTTGTGCTTTATATTTGTTGCAGGGAGGATGGTCATATCATTCAATCCATTAACCATGACGTTTCAAAATGTAAATTACTACATTGATGCACCAAAGGTACTCTTAAGCTTTCATCATCTCTTCTACAGTGCCTACATAGAGCTACAAACTCAAATAATTGATTACATAAAAAATAATCAAGTTAATGAATATGCTTCCTATTTTTCATTCAATCACTGTTGTATAACAGGAAGTGACAGAACGTGGATCTTCAGAGAAAAGGCTGCAACTTCTCCAAAATATTACAGGTGCATTAAGGCCTGGCATCCTTACAGCTCTGATGGGAGTTAGTGGAGCGGGAAAAACAACATTAATGGATGTTCTTTGTGGAAGAAAAACAAGTGGCATTATTGAAGGAGATATAAGAATTGAGGGATACCCCAAAGTACAAGCAACATTTGCAAGGGTGTCAGGATATTGTGAACAAAATGACGTACACTCTTCACAAATTACCATTGCCGAGTCAGTTATGTTTTCAGCCTGGTTAAGACTTCCAGAGGAGATAGATCGAGAAACTAAAGCAGTAAGGCAGTCTAACTCATTGTGAATCTTATAAATCTAATGATAACATAAAGTAAACGAGAAAGTGTCAAACTAATCCCCTGATTTTTTGCAGGGGATTATTGTAGCACCAGAAGGTGTCAGTTTAGTCCCTAAACTTTTTTAATATGAACTAAAAATGTCCCCACTAATGCTTATTTTAGCCCTAATTTAAAAAGTCTAGTAAATAATTTGGCACTTCTATAAACTTTAGGACTACAATGACTCCATGTAAACACTCAAGAGACCATGCTGACTCCTTAAAGTATACATTTTAGAAGGGCTTTTAAATGCTTTATAAACAAATAAGTCAAGATATACAGCCCAACCCTGCATAAACAATGGCTATTCACCATATACTATTAGCAAAATGGTGATATCTATTGTGAGTAGTTCCAGAGGAATGCATTCATCATAATTTGCCATATGGAGTAAAATGTCAAAGTTGGCATTGACTATTTACATGGGGATATTTTAGTCTCAGTGTCCATAAAAGTGTCAAATCAGTCCACATACTTTTTAAAATGAGCTGAAATAATCCTCAATAACAATTATAATACTTATTACCCAAACCCGACGAGAATCCACATCCTTCTATCAAATTCATTCATTCCTATCACAATCATCTCGTCCGGATGCACTAAGGGGTCCAAAAGGAAATCCAAGTTTCCTTCCTTACTATGGAACTGTCTCGATGATGTCCTTCAACCTGATGCTATTGATTCAAAATCTTTTATTTAATTATTATTATTAGGGGCAATTACATACATACCACACAATTCTTACATATTTACATGTCTAGCACCTAAACTCTTATTATTACATGCATATCACTCTAGTCCTTAACATCACATTTTAAATAACATCAGAGAATAATATCAGAGAGACACACATATTTACCTGGTTCGACAAATTTATCTACGTCAATGGAGCTGCAGAGGATTTTATTACCTCGAGGAATTATACCATCAAGGAGCACCTCAACGTTTATAAGAAAATATCTATTTTTTCTCTCCCTTTCTCTCTTCCTCTCTTTCTCTCTTTCTCTTAGCTCTCAAGAGGACATGGCTTGACCTTGCTTGGCTTGGCTTCTCCTTTATGCCAAAATAGGCTATTTATAGAAACCATGAGAGCGGTAGGTGGGAGGTGGTGGGGGGTGGGTGAGCGGTAGGTGGGATGTGGTAGGTGAGCGGTAGGTGGGAAAGTAGATGAAGCGGTAGGTGAGATACTTAATTAGAAAACTAATTAAATTTTGGTAGACTGGGTCTCCACATTACCTAACAATTCTCTCACTTGAAGACTGGGACACTGACCACATCACCTACTGGCTGCATCATCTACTAGTTGTACCGAACTTTTCCTAAAATATGATATCATCTACCTTTGCAACTCGAAACCCCTGTCTTCATGCTAGAAGACCAGCTGAAGTTGAGCACAACTTCAACTTCTCACGAGTAACACCCTCAGTTGACATATCACCGTCAACGTAGCCTTGTACTACCAAGTTCTTTCCTGGATTACTCTTGTATCTGCTTATAACTCCTACTACATGAGCAATATTCTGTCATTGCTGAAATCCCTTTTCAACAAGTCCAGTCTTGTACCTCTTACTGCCACCAAGTGCAGATTTCACCCGCTACACCTACTTATTGTGCAATGTCTTCTTTCTTGGTAGAAGTTTTGCCAGCTCCCAAGTCTGATTCCCTTGTAGGGAATCCGTCTCCTCCTCTTGGTCAGCTCCCACTTGCTCGAATTCTCATTTTGCAAGATTTCTTCATAGCTTTGTGCTTCTCCACCATTGGTCTGTACAAGGTTCGATTTCCCAGCCTTTGGCGCTCTGCCACTTTTCAAGAAACTTACCTTCTTCTACTTCCCCATAATGCACCTCTGACTCATGTGTCTACGCCTGAGTAAACCTGTAGTTATATATAGTGTGTCAGTTTTCTTACCCGTAGCCAGTACTAATGCTCTTTTGGTAATCTTCTAGGTGCTATCTGAGAATACCACCGAATGACCACCCTCATTGAGCTGCCCAACAGAGATGAGGTTTTTCTTCAACTCAGGAACATGTCCGACCTTTTGAAAAGTTCATTTGCTCTTGTTAGGGAGTGCAACATCAACGTCTCCCATCCCCACCACGCTTAGAGCTTTTCCATCAGCCAGATGTACCTTCCAAAAGTTACCTACAACATAATTTCGCATTGACTCCCGATGGGAAGATGTATGGAAGGAAGCCTCTGAATCCAGTATCCAGTCATCAACAGAACTATGAACTGCTAGTAATAGCACATCCTGTATTTCTTCAATTACAACATTAGCGTCATCATTCTCCTTCTTCTTAGGTCTCCTTCTTCTTAGGATTCCCCTGTAGTTCCTTTTTATGTGGCCAGCCTTGCCACAATTCCACCAGGTTTTCTGCTGACTTGATTTTGATTTTGATCTTCCACAGTTTGAGTTCCTGTCATGTGATCTCCTTCTGGAATCAACATTCAGCGCCGAACTTGAATACGAGGCATCGCTAGAATCCTTCCCGCACAACTCCTCAACTAAAATCAAATCATGAATATTATCATATTTTAGCTTAGATTTACCTGCAAAACTGCTAAATGTCATCCTCATGGCTTCCCAGCTATTTGGCAATGAAGTCAAAAATATCAACGCACGTATCTCATCAATCTCACACGTATCTCATCATCAAAATCAATTTCAACAGACAACAACTGATTTGTGATAGTGTTGAAATCATTTAGGTGTTGAACAACAGACACACCTTCCGTCATTCAAGTTGAATAATTTTTTCATCAGATGCACTTTGTTATTCGTCGATGGCTTTTCATACATACATGATAAAGCCGCCATGAGATTTGTAGTAGTCCTCTCCTTGATGATGTTGTGGGCAACCGATCTCGACATGATTAATCATATAACCCCTAGAACATGTTGATCCAACAATTCCGTTCTGCCTCATCCATCTTTTCCGGTCGCTTTCCCAATAACGGAAGATAAAGTTTCTTCTCATAGAGGTAGTCCTCTATCTGCATCCTCCAGTAAGCAAAATCTATGCCATTGAAATTCTCGATCCCCGATGTCATCACTTCGTCTCCGCCCATCGTTCTTCCTTAGATTCAAACCCATTCTCTGATACTAGTTGTTGTGAAAAATGACGATAATAAATCAAAAAATGGAACGAGAAAAACTACACACAGAAAAAAACACATGAGTGACACACAGATTTACGTGATTCGGCAAATTTTCCTACGTCCAAAGAGCTGTTGCATAGGATTTTACTACTTCGAGGAGTTACACCGTCGAGCGTCTCGACGTTTACAAGAAAATCTCTTTTTTCTTCTCTCCCTTCCCCTCTCTCTCTCTCTTCCTCTCTTTCTCTTAGCTCTCAAGAGGACTTGGCTTGACCTTGTTTGGCTTGTCCATGCTTGGCTTGACTTCTCCTTTAAACCAAAATAGACTATTTATAGAAACCATGAGAGTGGTGGGTGGGAGGTAAGTGAGCGGTAGGTGGGAAAGTAGGTGAGCGGTAGGTGAGATACTTAATTAGGAAGCTAATTAAATTTCGATGGACTGGATCTCTACATTACCTAACAAGATACTTAAATACATAAAACTTGTGTGCATGTATGTAAATTTATGTTGTTATTATTATTATTACTATTCAGTTATAATGCCCTCTTGTATGATCTACTGAAAATTTTATGAACCCAATGTTGCTTTTGGTTGGCTAGCACATGGCCAACATTAAAGACCAAAATCCCAACTTCATCACAAGATTCCAATGAAAATAGAAATCAAATAAAATTGGACAAAAAATTGTCGGTATTTTAAATCTTATTATTAAGACTAACAATTATTTATTAATTATACATGAATTATACTATTTTAAGATTATTCGCCTTTAATAAATTAGATTTTAGGATGCATCTTATCTTATTTTTACAAAACCCAATTTCCACATGCATATGTGAAAAAGTAAGATAATTCTTCGTCACAGTATGAATTTAATTGAAATTAATGATCTCTTTCAGCTTGACTGCATCTTCTTTGTTTCCTTTCACCATTATGCTATACATAAATAATTCTCAAGATAACCCAAAATCCCCAGAATTTCGAGAGACTCCTTGCAATTCCTTGACCTTTATTTTTTCCCATGATTTCTCCTCTGAAAGTTCTTCCTGAATCAACCAATAATCTTACTGTATAATAAGTGTCCTAAAGACACAAACAACTTCTATTTATTCAATCTTGATAAAATAAAGTACAGAAGTAACTTCTTCGGTACATTGACACTCATGACAAGGTTCAAGAAATTGGTCCACTAATATACAAAAAACTTTTAAAAGAATTTCATTTATAATTCACCCCTCACCAGTTGAATATAAAATTAATCCTTGTTCAATATATGCACAAATTTTTAGTATAAAACATGACCTTGAAAATACTTGACACAATAATTTTTAAAATACAATGCTATTAGTCTCCCACAAGTAATTACCAAGCTTTCAAGAGCAAACTTGAAATTGCAAGAAGTTACAAACAAAACAGTTTAGTCAATAAAAAGTCTGGTGCGCAAGAATGTTCAATTAAATATAAAGAAATAAATGTCAACTGAAACTTATGTCTTTTATATATATCAAAATTATGATTTCTTATTTTATCATCTTTTGGATACTATGTGCACCCCAATATTAATCTTTGGCTTGACTTTTGCAGTTAATTTTGATGAAAAAAGGAGGTCGGATGATCTATTCGGGACCAATAGGTCAAAATTCACAGAAAATCATTGACTATTTTGAGGTACAATTCCAACTGTATAGTTAATATGAAGAGCACCATTGTTGCATTTGTTGATATGAGAATTCATCCGGATCAAAACAATTTATTGAAATACTATGTTTTGGCCCAGCAATGATTATAAGCTTAAGCGGTATTTAATTTAGTCAAAATTCTTCCATAAAAAATGTAAAATGTTTAATATAGTTAGCAGGAAATCTTCTTGACAGCAAAGTAAACGAAGATCACAAAAGAAAAATGAATACATAATAGGAAATAAAACATAGATACTAAAAGAATACACAGCAAAAGGAATAAAATATGGTAAGAGATGATCTACTATTCCCATGGCATATGACTGGTAGTGGCATTGGTGCAGATTATTTTACAGACATTTTAGCTTGGCAAAAAAGGAAAAAAATATAAAAAAGAATAAATAAGGTTTTGAAGTAGAAACTGTAGAATAAAATGTATATATTAGCAAAGCAGCCAATAAAGCATGAATACTTTCATTGAATATGAATATAGTTGAGGAGAACTTTCAAGATTGTGGTTTCTTAGAAAGCAGCTTTAATAATTTCGATTACTCCTTGAGTATCAAATATCCTTCAGGATTCAAACCCTAGACAATTTACAACAGTGAACAGGTTCAAGGGCAGTAATATCTATGAGTTCTCTGTATAAATACTAAAATTCTAAGGAAGTATGATTAGCATCTATGGTTCAAACATCATGGCAAGATAAAACATTATAATTAGGACAGAGCAACCGAGCAAGTAAGCCATAATGCATACAATTTACAAAAATGAATAGACTCAAATCCAAAACTAGACTAAATTTATCTTCATATTTCCTCATTCTTTGTCTGGATTAATTGGTTGCATATAAAATGCAATAGAAAATAAAGATTGGCGATGAATCCAAATGAAGTTGAAGAAATTGGGTGTTAATATAAAAATGCACATACAACAAGAGAGCAAATGGAAGTTAAATGCTCTCAAGCATGCTATAAAGCTAATTGATACACAATAGAGTATTGGATTTAGGCTCATATCTAATAGGAAAAAAATATCTTGATATGAAAACAAGCTACCTTTTAATTTAACTTTTGAGTTGAAAAAATAGTATATCTATTCTAGCTTTGACTCACAAGTCTTCCCTCACAAATGGTATCAAAATAGATGATTTGGTTGTGAATGAGTGGTTCATGTAATTTGTAGTTTCATTGAGCCTTTGCAATTTTCTACTATAGGTGAACAAACTTTAAGAGTAACTCCTAAAGTCGATACATGAGTGAACTGTTGGTGCATAATACCTGATAGTGTTAAAAAACTTTTGATTGAGGGGTACTAAAAATCGATACAAAGAGTTCATTTGTCACAGAGAGATTGTAAAGGTATGATAGAGTACTAGGTTTTGTACCTCATTGGACAATTAAATATAATAATATAGAAATACTAAAAATAGTTAAACCATCACCCATAGACAAGCATTTGGGTTATAAAATATTTTTGATCACTAGTAAATCAGGCCCAACTTCAATCTCCATTGGTTCATACACTCTTACAAACAATAAAAACAAGAATAGATAACTGCTCGTGTTTGGATCCCTTCACGAACAATCTATGCTTACTTTTATTTTTTATCTTTTATTTGAAAATTCAATTTATCTTGATGTAATACAAGACAAAGACAATAAAAGTATTCTATTTCTTATTTGAAAATTCAAATTATCTTGATGTAATACAAGACAAAGACAATCGATGCTTACTTTTTTTTATATCATAAATTAAACAATCTCTATGGATCCCTTCACTTTTTGAAATATAATATTATTATAATTATTATTATATTTTCTTTATTGATCTTAATATTTTATTTATTTAATTTCTATATAATTTATAGCATGCCACTCAATTCTTATGTATTTATATATTAAACTTCAAATTTTACTTATATATCATAAAAAGGTGCATTTCACTATTTAAAAAGTTAAAATAATAGTATTTTAGAAGTGATAGAAAAATTTGGACCATATAAATGTAAAAGAAAAAAAAGTCTGGGTGTTGGATATGTGAAGACATAAGAATTGGGCGGTTTATATGCAAATACTCCTACATATAATAATGTCTTATCGACCCGTATTTGCGTGTTATATTTTTTATAATAGAAATGTTGTGTGTGCGCCCATGCCGTATCGTGTTTGTGTCCCTGTGACTGTATCCATTCATCATAGTTCACATCAATGATGTCCAAAACACAATGGAGGCAACCTAGTCTTTATTCCATTCCCTCTTGATAATCTAAGGAGAGTTACGGATTATTCTAAATAAAAGGAAGGTTCCAATTAACATGCTTTGTTTGCCGAACATAATTTAAGGTGTGATTTGGTGTGGACATCATTAAAATTATTATCTTAAAGATAATACAGTTTCTTAACATCATCCTTATTGTTTTACAGAGAATTCCAGGTGTCCCAAAAATTAGAGAAAACTATAACCCAGCAACATGGATGCTTGAGATTACTTCAAAAGTTGCTGAAGAAAAGCTTGGCATAGATTTTGCTCGTGTTTACACCGATTCATCTGCATATTGGTCTGATCCACTTCTTCTTTGCTATACCCTTCATTGAAAGACTTATATTTAGACAATAGGAGCATTTACATACACAACACACAATCCTTATGTATTTACATATCTATCACCTTAAATTTCAAATTTACATTTATAATACTCAAAAGTTTAACATCACATAAAAAAAACCATCACTAATAAATTTTTAAAAGTGAAGTACTCCATTTCATGCATAGGTTTCTAACACCAAAGAATTGTAAGTGTAAATATAAAAATTTAGATGTTAGATATGTAAATACAAAAGAATTGTGTGGTATGAATGTAAGTTTCTCTAGACAATAATGAAAGAGAATTGAGCTTCTAAATCTGTGTTTTGCTCAGGGATAACAAAAAACTTGTTGAGCAGCTTAGTATCCCACCACGAGGTTCAAGTGATCTTTATGGCGTTGCATCACTATCACAAACCAGATGGCTACAATTTAAGTTATGTCTTTGGAAGCTATCATTGTCCTATTGGAGAAGCTCAACCTATAACCTGGTGCGCCTCATATTTTTGCTACTTATATCGGTTCTATTTGCAGCACTCTTTTGGCAGAAAGGGAAGAAAATGTAAGTTCATTTTTCTTCTTTAATTTGATTTCAAAGTCAAAATCATTGCATTGATGTATAATCTGTGAAACCTCCCAAGTAGAATGAAGCTAAACTCCTAAACATTGTCGGCCGTTTTAATCTCGTGATTTGAAAAGGTGATGATTTTGTGATTTTGAAAATAATTTAAATATGAATATGACCTTTTTTTTATTTTTAAAAGTAACATTTTAATTTTAAAATAGGTGAGACAAACGGGTCTCACATTTTAAATAGTTTAGATGATTGAATACAACACTACAAGTAATATACTTATCCCGAAGAATAAATATATTACTTGTAATAGGGATTCAATCACCTAGACTAAAAAATTTGTGACATCCGTTCTGGCTTACGAAATATTTTATAAAAAGGTCAACAAGTTCCCCTAACTAACATAAAAAATTAGATAGGGTTTATTTTATCTGAGTTCCAGGTTCCCTATAGAGACAAGCTTCTATAGTTAATTACATATTAAATGATTGGGGGTCGCTTAAGAAAACTCTCTATTAAGATCAGGTGGTTTTGCCTTCAAGGTTTCAAAGTTTAGGTTTTCACGATTGGACAAGGGAAAATCAAATGGGAATGACTCAAAATAGGAACAATTATTTAAGGAATCCAAAGGGAAGAAAAGTAGGGGATATCACAGATCCGGGGGAAACTCCGGTGAACTCCCAACTATCCTATTGTTTGGCTTTATGTCTTTGAAATGATTTAATTAGATATTTCAATCCTGCAAATTATTTAAGATTTATGACTTATATTTACACAATGTCAAACTGTGCAAATAGCCTAAAAAGATAGGAGGATTTACACTGTTCCGTGCGGTAACCTCGGAATCCTAAAGTGTTAGGACTTATAATTGCTCAACAGAGTTGTGCAAAAGGCCTAAAGGGTGATTTTATGTAAGTTGTTATTTAAACTAAGGAAAGTGTATAGTGTTGTGAAAATGTGTTTTGCTGCTGCAGATTCATCTTGAAGTTATCCCTTGCTGTGCTGCCCACGATGTTCGCTCCAAGCTCCTCGTAGTAGCACCTCCTGGTTTAGTGTTAATCCTATACAACCACTAGGTTTTCCTAAATTAAGGCCTAGTGTATATCAAAATAACTAAACATGCAGTATAAAAGAAAAAAAAACAATATAGTGTACAGTAGAAAGAAAAGACAATATAACATGCTGAAAGAAGAGTATAACATGCTTAGAAAATGCAGTATAACATGCTGGGAAAATAGTATAACAGGTTATGAAAATAATATAACATGTTGTGAAATAAAATGTTGTAATGTAAATTAAACCTGTATACCTGGGAGGTTCGTTGCTTCTTTAAGTTTAGCTATTATGCGCTGTGTAAAAAGAGAACGTTTGGCCTGAAAAAAATCTTGAGAAAAACAGGTAAATCGTAGGAAAAAGACAAACAAATAAAATAAAATACAATATCACATATAAAGGACCAAGAATAAGAGATTTATATGTGATATTGAGAATGTCCCCAATCGTCAGGAGGATCTGAGTGTAAGACAAGCTCAAATCCCGGAGCATTGAGTTTCAATTTTGGTCAAGTTAAGACAAGAATTTCATTATTTGATTTAATTAAATCAGTCATGAACCACAATCTAGTGTACCCTCGTGTCTAGTGTCCTTATAAACTAGGGTCAGATGTCTGGCTTCTTAGGATCATTTGAACATTAGAAGGATGGACTCTCTCAAGGTGTGCTCCTAAAACCTAGGAAGCCTACACTTTAATTTGGGCCTGAAGAGTTCTAAAGTGTCTAACTTTAATTACGTGTCCTTCAACTAATCCTCGAACATCTTTAGATTAAGCTTAGCTCGCTATCAGAATCCTAAAACCTAGGGGGTAAACCTATAGTTTTCGCAAAAGGGTTGTGAAGTGTGCTTCAATCCTAGTTAGAGCAATTGAATTTAAGTTTATTCAAAGCTTAAGGGACCTAAGTGCAGGTCTACTGATCTTTAAATCCATGTCCCTAATCGTTATCTAAACTCTCACTTTCTTCCAACCCTCAACTATTCTTCCAATTTACAATTTCATCTTCCTTATGTAAAAGGAACGGTGATTGGTTTGCTATCCTATCTCCTCCTTAGATTTTATCATCTCAAAGAACCGAATTTCACTTTTAATCTTCTCTCCTCTTTCCCTCATATTTTCCTTAAGATCATGAATCATTTCTGAAGATAAGTAAATCAGAAATTTTCATTTTTAACTTGACCGTTAAAAAAAAGAAAACAAAATGAACGAAAAGGAGACCGATCCATTTTTAAAACAAAGTCAAATCAATAAAGCTTAAAACGAAATCGTGAATGCATCGGTCTAAAGACGTTTAAATTCGTAAAAAGTAAAAAAAAAAGATCGAATCAATCCAAAAAATGTGCATAAGTGTCTCCAAGAATCAACACTTAAAATGTTCAAATCAAAATATGAAAGCCTCAACATGCAAATCAAATTTTAACGAATAAAGCCTCAAAAATGCAATTTAAACTTCACTAAATAGGGCCTCAAGGTCCTTGAATCAATCTTAGAAGGATATCATTTTCTCACATTTCATAAATGGATCGACCCGTGACAATTTTATGAATTTTCAAACCCCTTTATGAATTCAATTTATATCAAATTCATGATTTCTCGAAATAAAGTTTCAAGAATTTTTCATTTGTCACAAGGCGAGAGAGAATAATCCATAGGGAATAACTCTTTAAATCTCCAAAAGCGATGCCAATATCAATTCCAACTTTGATCAAAAGCTCTTTTCCTTTTTCTTTTACATCTCATTAAAATGAAATTATTCTTGTAAATATCCATGACCAAGGAAATAGAAAGAGACAATTACTAGCCCAATTTATTCCACTAAGAGGTCATAAGTTAAAGCTTACGGGTAAGGCAATAAGGGATCACAACCAAGCTACACATCCTATGAACCAAAAGAGAAGAAAATTTGCGGGTAAGGCAACAAGAAGAGGAGAGCCCATGGGTAAAACAACCAAAATTCCAGCCAAGCTCCAAATCTAGCTTACGGGTAAAGCCAAAAGGGAAGGGAGCTCACAGGTAAAGCCAAAAGAGAAGGGAGACATCCAACAAAGCCATGCCCAACAAAAAATATCAAATTAAATCCAAGGGACAATTCTAAGCAGTAAGAGATTTCAGCCAAAATATAATACCAAAAGAAGCTTAAATTGAACCCACCAAAGGCCACCAAAGGCCAAAGGGGTAAACTAAGCCCAAAGAAATAGTCCAAACGTATAAGAAATTTTAGCCAACATAACTCACCAAAAGGAGCACAAACCGGACCTAGCAAAAGGGCACCCCGAACCCAGTAGAAAGGGAAAAACTATCCAACATAAGGACAAACTGAGCCAGTACAGGGAGGGGCCAAAACTTAACAACATGAAGGCTAAACCGAGCCCTCCAAATGAGCTAAAACAGAAAATATTTTTATAAAAAATTCCCATTTAATAGAGCCAAATCGAGCCCAGCCATATGGGGAAAACAGGACAAAAAAAATCCATTTGTAACTTGATTCAAAAGAAGCCCAAAATGAACCCCACATGGATAAACCGAGCTCAATACCAGGACATACCAAGCCCAGAAATATTCCAAAATAGCAAAAAGACTTCAGCTTTCATATATTACTGAAAAGTGCCCAATCCAAGCCCAAGAAAGGGGCAAACCGAGCTCAACACAGGTGGAAACCAAACCCAATGCATGGGGCAAAACAGAAAGCATGCTTCCAATTCAATCCCAAAGAAAAAGCCAAGACCGAGACCACCAAATGGGTCAAAGGAGAGCATATTTTTCCAGAATATATTGTAAGCATGAATATCAACAATAAAAGTTTTGATAATTTCATTCTAACATGCATTCGAATAAGGGGCAGCAAGAGAAACATGAAATGAGCCCCAAACACATCTTTTCCAACTCATAAAATAATTTCCAGCATGTATTCTATCAAGGGGGCAGCAAGAGAAGCAAGAATGAGCCCCCAAACATATTTTTTTATAGACATTTATAAAGGAATAAAAATGCATTTCTAGACTACTCTAGCCATGCCTTCATATGTTTCAAGCAAAAGAAAAGTAAAGATAACCCATATATATATGCTTCATTTCTCACAAACCTAAGCAAATATTCATGCTTAAACTTTAAAATAAGCTTCTATACTTCATGCCATCCGAAATAATGCAAAATAGAGGAGAGGAGAAGAATACTTATTTCTTTATGCAAATTTAAAGCAAAGAGAGTATAAGGTAGATTCAAGAAAACCACTCCAACAGTAGCCTACAAATACTCCCCACGATTTTCAGCTCACGATTTGACAAATCCAAGCCTCGAGACCCTCGAACAACAGAGGGAAGAAGATCTCCTCTCGAACAGGAAAACAAAAAGAGGTAACTTTCTTAATAGCGAAGAAGAAAGACAGAAAACACCAAGTCCTTCCAAAAATCTCCCCTCTCTCAAAAACTCTCTTTTTTTTTCTCAGTCAAGAAGAAAGACAGAAGAACCACCCACTCCCCTAATCCTCCAGGTAGGCTAATAGCCAAAAAAACAAAAAGAAAAAGCCACCTGTTTGCCGCCCTAGCCAACCAATCGAGGAGGAAGGAAACGACACCATAAATGAGGAGAACGTATAGCCTCGAAAAGGAGAAGGGTCGGCCAACTCGCCTCTCCCCCTCCCCCATTTGGAGAGCCGCACGGAGCGAGAGGGCTGCCGTGCCACGTAGAGAAGGGGAAGAGACGGGAAGAAGACGGGAGCCTATTTATCGAAAATGGATGTCTATTCTAGGTATTTTTGACATTTCGGACGCGCTGGCCTGTCTATTCTAGGTATTGTTGACAGTTCGGACGCGCTGGCGCGGTCCATTTTGCCGTCGGAGGTCATTTTGACAAATTCATTGATTTGCGTGCTAATTTTCTCGTGTCTAAAATATGACGATATGAGTGTCTTTTCCTACCAAAATTGGTATCCCGGAAGCACTGGCACAGTCCATTTTGTCGTCGGAAGTCGTCCGGAGAAGTTTGCATTTTCACCCATTGCATTTTCACCCATCAGAGAAGTTTGCATTTTCACCCATCATTTAGGCTCAATTGAAGACCGACCTCGTGCAATTTTGTGAATTTTGTGCATGTGATGAAAAAGTCGTGACGATAAGTCGTGACGATGTTTTCCTAGGGTTTGAAATCCTATTGGGAACTTCTCCTTGAGTCTTCACATAATAGCCCTTAACCGCTCGTACATAAGACGGTGGTTTTGGGCCATAAATGCCAGACATCACAGGAAAAATAGGAAGTGTTTTTTTTTTAATTTCTTTTTTTTTTAATTTCTAAAAATTATTTCTAAAAATTGTGGGTATCAATTCTAGTTTTCTAAGATAGTCAATAAGAACTCCTAGAGCTATATCCTAGGATCTTAGGAAAAGGTAATGACCTAAAAAATGAGGTCAACAAACATCAAGACGACTTTTGGTTCGACAGTTAGAATTTCATCAGCTGGGAAGTTACACCAATTGAATAAAACCATGAGACTATTAGGCCAAAGCGAAGAATATCTAGATAGATGAGAGTTCAAGTTGTTATTTTGCCTTCAATTGCTGTAGAAGAATTCAGTAAATCTCACGTTTACTTGAACACTCTTTATTTCGGTGGCAGAACAAATGAGCAAGACTTGTTGAGGATAATGGGATCAATGCACCTAGCCATGCTATTCTTGGGCATGAATAATTGCAACTCAGTTTTACAAATTATAGCTAGAGAGCGTGCTGTTTTGTATAGAGAACTGTCTGCTGGAGCTTACTCTTCTTTCATGTACTCTCTCGCACAGGTAGAATAAACTGCATACAATTTGATGTCTAAAAACATGAATTTGAATAAGAAAAGAGCAAACTACTCATCTAAAATTTTCACACAGATATGTTTCTTCTGAATCTTTTCGTGTTGTAATTTGAGTTGCAGGTAACAGTGGAAATTCCTTGTTTATTCATCCTTGCAACAATACACGTAATTATTACTTATCCAGCAGTGGGTTACTACTGGTCTGCTTCAAAGATGATGTGGTATTACTACATAGTTTTCTGCACGCTTCTTTGCTTTAATTACCTGGGAATGTTTATCATGTCAATAAGTTCAAATATTCAAGTAGCTTCAATTGCGGCAGCCGCAATTTACACAATTTTCAATCTATTCTCCGGATTCTTGGTACCCAAACCGGCAAGCAAAAATCTCCACAAATGTGTTTGTTGATCAGTCTGTCATGCTTTCCAACTCAAACCTTATATTTGGAGCATTTACATACATAACAAGTAGCACACAATTCATATGTTTTTACATCTCTAATTCATATTTACATATTATTACTCTTTTAAAGCTTTAATATCACATTAAAAATATCATTATAACCACTATGTATATAAATATGAAAGTTCAGGTAAAATACATAAAAAAGGTGTGCTATGTATGTAAATTTTCCTATAATATTTTTAGCTAACACAAAGCAAGGTCTTTGCCAAACAACCAATTCTCTTAGCTCATATTACCAAAATCAAAATGTTATCTGAATTTCCTTTTAGATTGCATTTTAACCATTGCCTGTATTATCTAATCAACAAAGCATCATTTTGCCTTAAGGAAGTTTCATTCTCCTCTTTTTTCCTAGCTAGACATCATGTGCACTCAATAAAATTAAGGGGCATTTACATAAATACCATACAATTCTTATGTATTTACATATCTAACACCTATACTTTCATATTTACAAGTATAACACCCAAACATTTAACATCACAAAAAATATCACTTTTACATACTTTTTAAAAGTGAAATATATCTTTTTCATGCATAAATTTATGACACCAAAATGTTATGAATATAAATACTTTTGTATTTGCAGCTTATTCCGATATGGTGGAAATGGCTATATTATATTTGCCCACTACCATGGTCATTAAATGGTTTGCTTACTTCACAATATGGAGATCTCAACAAGGAAATGATGGCATTTGGGAAAACCACAACAGTTGATGCATTCGTGGGAAATTATTATGGATTTCATCACAACCAACTGAGCATAGTGGCCTTAACAATGGCTTATTATCCTCTTGTTCTTGCCAGTCTTTTCTCATTTTGTATATGGAAAATAAATTTTCAAAGAAGATAATGTAGGCTTATTAGTGTGATGTTTAGGGGAGAAGTCGTGCTCATAGAGAAGGGAACACCCATGTAAGCTAGCTTGCAAATCATACATTAGTTGAGGGCAGTATATCTCTGTAAATGTGTTTAAAGATTATTATCATGATATTTATGTAATCAAGTTATATCTTATGTGCTTTCATATATAATAAAAATTGGAAAATTTGATACGCAATCGCTACCCACAATTCTAATTTATGGTTAACATGTCTTAGATGGTTTGGTCATATTAAATATCAACCAACTGATGACCTAGTTAGGATACTAGATGTTTTAAATTCAAATTATGTTAAAAAAGGTAGAGGTCGACCAAAAAAATTTGGGGATAATGTATAAAAAATGATCTTATCTTATTAGAATCAAATGAAGATATGACAGTCAATGGGATACGATGGAGAAAAAAGATTCATGTGGGCTTGTTATTGTTGTTGTTGTGGTTAACATGTCAATACAAATGATTTTTAAAGCTAAAAAAAGTTACTAAAAAAATTATTATCAATACATGAAAAGAGAAAGACAACAAACAATTGCAGAAGACTACTAGATGCAAAAGTTTAAAAACCAAATTATACCAACAAACCATACCTCAAAGGCCTCATTTGAAGCATCTTGCTTAAAGTCTAATAAAAATTGGTGAGTAGCAATACATTTTCTTCCTATCTTTGCCCTTCGTGGCTTAAAGAATTTGAAAGTTTTTATCCGCTAATTCTTTTTTGCACTTGAAATATTGACATAATTGTAAACAGAAACCAATGGTCATCAGCAGCAGGTGCCTCTATGGATTTGGATCAATACTCATGTGTGAAAGTGAGATATTTATCATCACCATTGAGCTAACACCTAGAGAAGGCTATAAAATCAAGGTAGGATCTAAAATTAATTCAAAGTTTTGTGTATAAATTAAACCAAAGATAGTCAAAAGTGCAATGTCTACATTAAGATGTTGATTTTGAGTCTGTTTGGGGCAGCTGCAGCTGTTTGAAGGAACAACTGTGAAGCTGATTAAGAAGAAACTATTCTTCAAAAAGTTACGGTAGCTATTATAATTTTTTTTTTGAAAAAGTTAGAACGCAGCTTTCTAACAGTCACTACAGGTAGCCAAGTGTGGTGGGAAATTGCAGCTTTCAGCTGCAACTTTTCAAGAACATAGGCAAAATGTAGTTTTGTCTAACAGAAAAAAACTACGATGTGGGACCACAGCACCACCGCCCCAAACACACATTAATTGAATACCTCTCACCATCCTTATTGTTAGATATCTACAATTTTAGGAGATCCTTAAAGCATAAATAGTGCAAAGATTAAAAAAATAAGTATTTTCAAATATTCATAAAATCCTAATTTCATTAATCAACAAAAATTAAATTCAACAAGGATTAGTGTATTCCAAATAGATCAGCAACAAATCATCCTAAATATACTTTACTTTATTGGTTCACCATTCCAAGAAATCTACATTTATACGTCTTTCTTTCACTTGAAAATATCTCCTTGTGTAAAGCAATATTCCTTCTGATAATTCCTTTATTCCATAAATAATGATTCATTTTATCCCTCTTCATTGAAGGCCGCTAATCAAATAATATAGTTACCTTTCATCGTGATCTTTCATCAAAAAAGATATACCTCCTTTTTCCTACAATTTTTGGAGGCACCAACCCCCTTGAAGTAGTTGAAATGTCTAATCAGATCCTTCGACTTCCTATAAAGTGTGAGTTGAAGGTTTCACATCAATGTCAACTAAAATCTTTATGAATTTACCATTGTCCTTAAATCCCCCACAACTTGTGATGACTCTAGTGATCCAACAGGACGAAAAAGAAGAAGAAGAAGAAGAAGAAGAAGGAACGGGGGTAAAAAATGGGCCCTTAGGCCCCTTACAAGGGTGTTAAGTTCAAATTGACACAAGCTAATATGAAAAGGAAAGATTACTAAACAAGAAATGTTTAGTGATTGTACTTCAAGACATACTAGGGAGACAAATTTGTTATGAAGGTTGGGTCATTATGTTAAAGACCAATCTTTTAAGAAGGCCAAGTTTGATAATTTCTTCGTAGAATGCACCGCTTTTTTGCAGAATCAAAAGGCCCCTCAGCCTCTGGAAGCTTAAGATGTCGTTGAACCTGTAGCTCATCTTCAACACTCCCTCATTCCGACGTTGTGTGCCCTAAGGAATCCATTCCCTTAGGGTATCAATAGATTATCAAATGTAATGATAAATATAAGGGCATGCTACCCCCTACCCTAAACAAAAAAAAACTAAAATCAATATGCATACATCAGAAAACTTAATTGTAAATTTTCAAATAAAAAATGCCGATTATTGAATACAAATCTTAATGATTAAACCTATTTTAATTAAAAAAAAAACTCATTCTAAACATATCAAAACAAATTGACTAATTACTCATATATCCAAAAACAAATCCAAATATTTTTTAAATACCTAAACCCTAAAACAAAATTTTTCTTCATAATTAAATGGGAGCTTTCTTGACTAAAAGACATGAAGAAACCAACAGAACTCCAACTGAACAGTCCTTGTTCTCTAAAATCAATACAAAAGAAGACTTCCAATGTTCAAATGACAAAAACACTTTACACACATTAAATAGATATAGTCACATAATCATGCAATTAATCAACAGAAATCATCCATCCAACCGAAACTTTTAACTGTTACAGTTAGTGCTGAAACCATACACAAACTCAAATATACCCACTCTCTAATAACTCCCACCTGAAGGGAGGATATACAAACATAACTTCAGGAGGGCCTTTGAACAGCAATCCTACACAAACGCAGACTGCAGCAATTCCTATCATAGATAGTAGCATTGGAAGATACAGCAGAGACCCTCTGACCGAGCTTCTGCACGCCAGATGCTGTTCGCAGAGCTTACAGAAAGGAGGCTCTGATTGTTTTGATTTGGTATTGTAAATCCCGAGGCTATGTAGTTTAGCGGGCTTCAATCCTTCTGATTGTCTGTAGATTGCATCGGATGGCAATGATAATTTACAGGGCATGTTAACGACCACGTCGCATTTTTCAGTAATTTTGTTGATCTTCTTCTGCAACAGAAGTATGTAGGATTCGTGACCTCGGGCTCGCGCGTAGTCTTCGGGAGTGAAACCGGTTGCATCGCGGGCGTTAGTCCATGCTTTAACTCCAAACTAGCATTCAAAAAATCAATCATTAGCATGTTTTCATCAATATTTTATAACGCACGCCTAAACATCAATTTTTTTACATGTATAGCACCCAAATCATTCGTATCACAACAAAAATATCACTATTTTAACTATATTAAAAATAAAATACACATTATCATGCATATATAAGGTGGCATTTATGTAAAAATTGAAGGTTAGGAGTTAGACATATTATGCATGTAAATCTCCCTATTTTATAATATTAAAATATTCAGTATCTGACATTTCTAGTACTGTACAAGTGCAAAACACCTGTCTTACTGCATACACAGTCAATACATCTGATAAAAAAAAAAATTTGAATAAATAAAGGTGTTTTTATATATCAAGCAAAACATTGTTATTTTTGTATCTCACCTCCTGAACTTGAGTATTATAAAATTCATACATCCGTTAACTCTTCCTGTCTCGAACTCCTCTCCTACGGCGGCACTGCCGTACATACAAAGAACTCTGAAAATTCCAACTTTCTCCTCCAAAATTCCCGTAAACTGCTGGTATTTTGAGAACAACTGGATCCCAACAAAATATATTCTACTTATTGACCGCGACTTTATATATGTTTAAAAATATAAGATAAATATGGACATAATAAATATTCAATAATTGTAAAGTCACACTTATCAACGCAAGTATACATATCGCTCAAGTAATATGGGGCTCTAATGGAGTCCTAGATATCAATCCCACAGGGAGTAAGATTAGATCTACGAACTAAGATTTTAGAAAAAACAATACTTTAATCACAACAACGAAGTTCAATTTGCTTATCTGTCATGAAGCGACAATTGCAATAAATATGTAATTTTAATAACTATTAAATTTAATAACTATTAAATAACTAATAACTATTAAATAACGAATGATACTAATGAAAGTTTAAATGTGATATTCAATATATAAGAAATTATCATTTTCATTGTCAAGAAATTATAGTTAATGGATAAAGTGAATTAATTCAAATTATATTGTGTCAAATAGGAGCATACATATTCTTTACCCTTTGGTCCAGGCATAAAAAACATTGACTAATCTTACGCTTTTACTGAATCCGTGGCTAGGCTGGGAGGATACCGGCTCTCACTTCGGAGCTCCCACGTTACCCTCGCCTGAGGGCTAACATCTACACTTTAGCACCCAAACGATAGAACAGAATTGGAGATTTTAGTCTATTACTCTAAAATCTCCAACTCTACGCCCGATAATATA